TACACTCACCACTTGTCTCCTTTTCCATTGTCAGCTTCCATCCTCAGCAAATGGAGCCTGTTCTTAGGTCCTGTTTTCATTCAGGTTTTTCCATTGGTTCTTGCCTAATCCACTTCTGTATACTTCTTTTCAAAGCTCAGGGCTCCAAGATTACCTTCTGTGTCTCTGTCAATTGATTTCTCTTTTCTTTGTTGAAGACGGCCTGTGGAGCTTGTCTGCTTATTCTGCCATCTTATCAGAAGTCCTTCTGTAGCTTTTTAAAATGCAGATCACTGTGATCACTTGGAAATGGTAGAGTACTCAACCATTTGCTGATTTCATAAAAAGAGACAATCAGTAAGGTAAGGTCGAATTCAATATTTGGCATTTTCTTATAAATTTAAAAATAGGATTTATCATATCTTTCCTTTAGAGTTTTAGAAAGACTGCCAATCGAATGGAATGGATGATGGCTATGTAAAATATTCTTTGGAAACTATTTTCAACCTTTTTCAATGCTTCAAATTGTCTTATTATCTCACATGAACATTTACAGCATTAGTAACTGTTTTTCTGCTGAATTTTACATTAATGTGTGACATGTTGATCTTAAAAAAGAAAAGAAAAGCATTTATTTGGCCCTACTGTAGGCTGTACTATGTTTGTATAAATCCCACTACTATACTCAAGAACAGATTAATGTAGACACCCTCACAGATCTGAAGTCATGTGGATCAGAAGTCAGATTCTATTTATTACCATTTTTAGCAATGTAATGTTCAGAATTGGACCAGGCATAATCTTAAAAGATGGTTAGAGTGTACAACCAACTTGTATGCTAGTGATTGGTTGTTCCACAACACATAGCCTTTTCAATTTGGCCAAAAATATTTCGTGATCTTTTTACTCTTTATTGAAAAAAAAAAAAAAGAAGGATGAATAATGACCTGGGTCTCTCTAATAGGTATTATGTTATTATCTTCCATTTACAGAAGAGGAAACTGAGGTTCAGAGTTAATTAGTTTGTTCAAAGCCAGACAGAAAGAAACAGTATCAGAATTTATTCAGTCTGAATCCAAAGTTCTTCTCTCTTTGTGTGTTGACCCTTCACCTTGATAAAGCTTCTCTGACCTTCAGTTATTTGTATTAACATTAAAAATAGTGAAAAGAGACACTTAAATAAGTTACTAACTTGCAGATATTTTAGACTTTTGTGTCAACTAATCTTTGAAGACAGCCTTTTATCTGCAGACATGCAGATAAAATATCTGCAGATAAAAGTTCACAAATATTTTATACATATTTGTACAATCATCTCCCCCCTCCCCACCTCAAATGCACATATATGTACATAGAACCAAGAGTCCCATTGATTTTGGTAATTAAGACTGCAGATCATAGTTAGGGGTGATGGAGAGAGGTGCACATATCACATGGATATTAGTGCTTTAAAAGGCAGCTACAATTTGGGTTAAACTTCGGAAAAGCTCAGGCCAGAGCCATCAGAATCAGGGTTTTGTTAGCAGTGAGAAGTTAAAGGTTTGGCAATTTGTTTTAGAAATTGAGTAATACTCTCTTTGCTCAGACTTCTGCTGAAAAGTTGCCTCAGGAAGTTTGAAAAGTGTTTCTAAGAACTAGTGATTCTGGCTATTCAGATGGAGAGTTCACTGACGGGCATTCTTTCTCCACTGTGAATTCCTCAAGGGTAATTGTCTACCAGTTGTCCCTGGCTGATTCCTTCCCCTGTGGTCACTGCCACTGTATCACCTCTAGAATCAACCAAGGCTAGGAAAGGTGGTCTGATAGATGGGCCAGGGTGGCAAGGTCTTGCCAGAAAAGAGAGACAGAAACATAATTAGGGAGGTAGGCCATAGGGGCAGAGCTAGGGGTTCTGAACGTAGCACTCCCCTGTCATCCATTGCATGCACGCGCGCACACACGCGCACACACACACAGAGAGAAAACCAAAGTCATTGCCATCAAGTCGGTTCCAACTCAGAGCAACCCCCAATGCATTTTTGAGGCTGTAAACCTTTACAAAAGCAGACTGCCTCATCTTTCTTTTGCAGAGCAGCTGGTAGGTTCAAACCACCAGCCATTTGATTAGCTGCCAAATGCCTTAACCACTATACCACCAGAGCTCCTTGTCCGTTACACAAGAGAGGTAATAATAACAGCTATCATTGCTGGTGTCAGATGGATGTTGGCCAAAAGCAACGAACACCAGAAATATATCTACCTGTGTTTTATTGACTATGCAAAGGCATTTGACTGTGTGAACCAGAACAAATTATGGAAAACTTTGCAAAGAATGGGAATTCCAGAACACTTACTTGTACTGTACATAGACCAAGAAGCAGTCGTTCAAACAGAAGAAGGGGATACTGCATGGTTTAAAATCAGGAAAAGTATGTGACAGGGTTTTATCCCTTAACCATATTTATTCAATCTGCCTACTGAGCAAATAATCCAAGAAGCTGCACTATATAAAGGAGAATGTGGCATCAGGGTTGGAGATAGACTCATTAACAACCTGCAATATGCAGATGACACAACTTTGCTTGTTGAAAGTGAAGAAGACTTGAAGCACTCACTGATGAAGATCAAAGACTACAGTCTTCAGTATGGATTACACCTCAACATAAAGAAAACGAAAATTCTCACAAATGGACCAATAAGCAACCTCATTCTAAATGGAGAAAAGTTTGAAGTTGTCAAGGGTTTCATTTTACTTGGATCCATGATTGACACCCATGGAATCAGCAGTCATAAAGTCAAAAGATGTAAGTCATAAAGTCAAAAGATGTATCGCACTGGGCAAATGCACTGCAAAAGAGCTCTTTTAAAGAGTTAAAGATCAAAGTTGTCACTTTGAAGTCTGAGGTGTACTTGAACCAAGCCATGGTCTTTTTAATCACCTCATTTGCATGCAAAAGCTGGGCAGTGAACAAGGAAGACCAAAGAGTAATTGATGCATTTAAACTGTGGTGTTAGCAAAGAACATTGGATATACCATGAACTGCCTGAAAGAGGAACAAATCTGTTTCAGGGAAGTACAGCCAGAATGCTCCCTAGAAATGAGAATGGCCAGGTTTCATCTTTTGTACTTCAGTCATGCATATTATCACAAGGGACCAATCCCTGGAGAAGGATATCATGCTTGGTAAAGTAGAGGGTCAGCGAAAAAGGGGAAGATCCACATTGAGATGGATTGACACAGTGGCTACAATGATCAAACACAGCAATGATTTTTGAGGATGGCACAGGACCAGGCAGTGTTTCGTTCTTTTGTGCAGGGGTTGTCTATGAATCAGAACTGATTCAGTAGCACCAAAAAACAACAACCATTTCTTGGCTGCTTCCTGTATGTCAGATTCTATGCTGAGCATTTTACATTTAATGAATGAGGAAACTGAGAATCAGAGTTAGATAATTTAAGACCATCAAACTAGATATGGTGCCATCATCTGGACAAGACCATAGCACCATAATTCCCACTTACTGGTCCCAAACTGCCATCACTCAGGATTTTTACTTTACATATGGCATTACTTTTTCTGTTACCATCTCAGTTTCAAAAATATCCTGCATGTTAAAACATCTGTCTTTAGAATAATATTAAAAGATTTTGTGTATGTGTGTGTGTGTGTAAGACTTACCACAGTAGAGTCCTGAAATGCCTCTTCCTGAAATTATGAGAATGTGAGTTGGTCCCAGTTTTGAAAATCCCATCAATAGGGCTCCAAGGCATGAGAGACTGTTTGCTACCAACATAGCTCTGATTCTGAAATTTCAAAAAGCAAAGATTATAAATTCTGCACCAAAACTTTATAAAAGTATTTTCTTTATGGAGTTCCAGTAAGATGGCAGAATAGGCATAAAGACTACACAAACCCTCTTCAACAAAGAAAAGGGGAACCAATTAACCCAGATACAGAAGATAATCCTG